TGTCCTCTTGGCTGGTCTAAAGAAATAGCAGAATGAGAATCCAGCTGAAGATTTCAACCAATGGGCATTTCTGTATACTGTATATACGTTTTATGATAATTTGAGGAGATTGCTGAGATGCTTGTCTATTTAAATATTTTGCCATACTGAAATGCATTCTTTGTCTTACAGGGTCAGAATGTTTTTGGCCTCGATATAATCGAGACACCTGAGGGAGATAAGTGGCCTCAACTGATTGTCCAGCAGATCCTGGATAGGGAGCAGAAGGACACGTACGTGATGAAGATAAAAGTTGAGGATGGTGGAACTCCTCCGAGGTCCAGCACTGCCATTCTGCAAGTCACTGTGACTGATGTGAACGATAATCGACCGGTCTTTAAGGAGAACGACGTGGAAGTTAGTATTCCAGAAAATGCTCCAGTGGGTACTTCGGTTTCGCAGCTCCATGCCACTGATGCAGACCTTGGCTCAAACGCACAAATTCACTTCTATTTCAGCAATCAGATCTCCAGTTTGGCTAAAAGGCTCTTTGCCATTGACAATGCTACTGGTCTCATCACCATAAGAGAACCGCTGGACAGAGAGGAGTCTCCTGTACACAAATTAACTGTTTTGGCAAGCGATGGCAGCTCAACCCCGTCAAGAGCAACAGTGACTGTAAATGTCACAGATATTAATGATAATGTCCCCTCAATAGACACAAGATACATCATCAATCCAGTGAATGGGACAGTTCTTTTATCTGAGAAAGCTCCACTTAATACAAAAATTGCACTGATAACAGTGATGGACAAGGATGCTGATCTAAATGGCAAAGTTACTTGTTTTACAGATCATGATGTTCCATTTAGATTAAAGCCAGTTTTTGATAATCAGTTCCTTCTGGAAACAGCCACGTTTCTTGACTATGAAGCCACACGGGAATATGCCATTAAAATAGTGGCTTCAGATTCAGGGAAACCTCCCTTAAATCAGTCTGCGATGCTCCTGATCAAAATTAAAGATGAAAATGACAATGCCCCAGTTTTTACCCAACCTATCATAGGTCTTTCCATACCTGAAAACAACGCTCCTGGGACGCAGCTGACCAAGATAAGTGCTACAGATGCCGACAGCGGACGCAATGCCGAGATCAGCTATATCCTGGGGTCTGATGCACCCCCCATTTTCAACCTCGATCGCCGCACGGGCATTTTGACAGCAGTAAGGAAGCTGGACCGGGAGAAGCAGGACAGGTACTCCTTCACTGTGCTGGCCAAGGATAACGGGATGCCACCGCTGCAGACCAACGCTACTGTGACAGTGTCAGTCCTGGACCAGAATGACAACAGCCCTGCTTTCACCCACAATGAATATAACTTTTATGTGCCGGAGAACTTACCCATGTATGGTACAGTGGGGCTTATCACAGTCACAGATGCTGACTCTGGTGAGAATGCTGCAGTAACTCTCTCTATATTAAATGGGAGAGACAATTTTATTATTGATCCGCTTACTGGTGTAATAAGACCTAATATTACCTTTGATAGGGAGCAGCAGGGGTCATACACTTTTCAGGTGAAAGCTGTGGATGGAGGAAGAGTGCAGCGCTCTTCGACTGCCAAAGTGACCATCAATGTAGTTGATGTGAATGACAACAGGCCCGTTTTTGTTATGCCTTCATCTAATTATTCCTATGATTTGGTCCCAACATCGGCCAGCCCTGGGTCTGTAGTCACTAAAGTGTTTGCAGTTGATAATGACACGGGAATGAACGCAGAGCTCCGTTACAGCATCATAGGTGGGAACTCAAGGGGCTTGTTTACAATTGATCAGTTAACGGGCAATATTACTTTGAAGGAGAAAGTAATTACAGCAGATCATGGCTTGCATAGACTGGTGATAAAAGTCAATGACCTAGGACAGCCAGAGTCTCTCTATACTATAGCTCTTGTGCATTTGTTTGTGAATGAGACGGTCACCAATAGTTCCTATGTTCAAGAGCTAGTGCGTAGGAACATGGAAACTCCGGTTGGCCAGAATGTTGGGGATGGTGAGATAACCCCCCAAACCAATGATTATGTCAAGATCATCATTGCGATTATTGCAGGCACAATGACAGTTATCCTGGTAATTTTTGTTACTGCTTTAGTACGGTGCCGCCAGACACCCAGGCACAAGGTTGTGCAAAAAAACAAGCAGAGTGGTGAATGGGTTTCTCCAAACCAAGAGAACAGGCAGATCAAGAAGAAAAAGAAGAAGAAGAAGCGCTCACCAAAAAGTCTCCTCCTCAACTTTGTGACAATTGAAGAATCGAAGCCTGATGATCCTGGCCACGAGCACATAAATGGCACTTTAGACATTCCTGTAGAACTGGAAGAACAGACTATGGGAAAATATAACTGGGCCACGACGCCAACCACGTTTAAGCCCGATAGCCCAGATTTAGCAAAGCACTACAAGTCTGCTTCTCCGCAGCCTACCTTCCAAATTAAACCCGAGACTCCTGTACCCCCTAAGAAGCACCATGTCATTCAGGAACTGCCTCTGGATAACACCTTTGTGGTGGGCTGCGACTCGCTCTCCAAGTGCTCATCCAGCAGCTCGGACCCTTACAGTGTTTCTGAATGCAGCTGTCAAGGAGGCTTTAAGACCCCAGGCCCCATACACACCAGACAGGTAATGCAAAGTTTAAGGTACTCTTTCTCCTGCCTGTCTTCCTTTCTCATAGGTGTAGCTCTGAGCCCTGCAGAATCGCCTCCTCTGGCAGGATGCCGCGTTTGCCAGAGGCATTGGAATGAGAGCAGTGGAGCTGTGCCCCGTGAAGGGCGGGCGGCCGGGCGGGCGAGCAGGGTCAGGAGCAG